GTTCATTCGCAGTGACGAACCTTCAGAAAATGATCTGAAGGCTCGATAGTTCAGCTAAGCAACAGAGAGGTTATTTTAGCTTTTTTAAGCTAACTGCACTCAATAAAGCTTTTCATTTGCAAGTGGCGGGAACATGTCCAGCATTCACTCTTACTTTAGTTCAGTTTTGTTCTCATCATCTGAAGGAAATGTCTGCTACTTTAGAAGCTAACTGTTTCAATGAATTCACCCTCTAGTTGCTAACTTTGCAGGACACAAACACAACTGAATCAATGCTAATGTTTCTCCAAATCTGTTGAGTATCGGGGCAACTGCTTTGTCGTTCACACAACTGGTTTCCCAGTCAGCCCAAAATAATCAATAATAGAGTAATTCAAAATCTATGTGATTTTTTCTGATAGCTTGTGTTTGACACTGCTTGTATCTGTTGCTAAATTTTAGATGTTAAAGTGGCGAATACCTTGCTAAAATTAGCAGGAGAGCTAGAAAAACACAAGCTTTCAGTAGGTTTCCGGTATAATGAGCATATAAACCTTCTAGATTTTTCCACATCAGCTGGAATTTAGTACCACCGCCTCTAGACAAGATTAAGTGTGCAGGGTCACTGGAAAGTTTAGCTATAGTGTAGTTATCGCTAATTATCCACACAGAATCCCACAATGCATCAGACCTGTAAGCGTCTCGTGACCCGATCAGGTAAATTAGACGGGACACCACCTTTCTCTGCGCACCGCCTGCTTTCCCATGAGTTAAAGACAGCAACAGCTGATGCGACACATCTGTGTCCTCACCGTCTCGCTTCCCTTCACTTTGCTTCTCACTAAAGCTGCTTCCCAGTGTCCCTGACCCTAATAACCCAAATTCCTGCCTGATTAAGTTGGTTTTAAAAGGAAGCCACACAGAGAGCCGTTGGTTGAGCCTCACCTTAAATGGGAACACATTTTAGCTATGCTGGAGCGATGATCGGAGGATAGGATTTCACTTTCCGGTGTTTGTGAGGACGGCAGCGCTTAAAAGGCCGCAGAAAGGACAGTGGGGGAGAACACAGAGGGATGGACAGGAATAGATAGAAAACACACATGCACATGCACACATGCATTTGTCATAAACTCCCCCCCCCCCGCCAAAACACTGTAAAGCTTATATTTCCAGGAAAAACTGGCAGTGCAGTGCAAATCACACACAAATGCACACACCCACACTGAAATTTCTTCTCCTACAATCCCCCCCCCTCTCCTGCACCCTTGCAACCTTTTCTTGTTCCAATCTCATGTTGTTATTTCTTCAAATTAAGCCCACACTGTGCCTGAGAATAGCTCTCAGAGAAGTGGTTATAAGTGACACACACTCCCTCTCTTTCTCTCTCTCTCTCTCTCTCTCTCACATACACACGCATGTGCGCGCGCACACACACACACACACACACACACACACACACACACGCAGGTCATTATTAGTGTGACTTGGGTCTGGTTGAACCAGCGCTCTCCAAAGTGTTTCCGTGTCACCCTCTCCCACCCCAGACAGGCTGGCTCTAATGACCTGGCCTGATAGTTCAAAGCGGCCCTCAGACGCTATGATTAATGAATCTGACCTGCTAATTTCAGAAGAATACAGCTTATTGTATCAAAAAGCGCTCTCAGAGACACAAACATGGCGCTGGGCTAGTTAACATTCTTCAGTATTCGGAGAAAAAGTTGTTTTAAGAGGAAGATTTTACGATAAGCACAAAGGTTAAGCTTTATGTTTCATCAGCGGCTCCAAACATATTAACTTTTGCTTTGTTCTAAATAATTTAAAGTGTTTGAACTTAAAAAAAAAGCCAAAGTGCTCAACAACAAGAAAACAATCCAAGATCACAGAAAGGAGTAATTCCCCCTGTGTAGTTACACGAGATTGTCCAGCGCTACAAAAGCAGGGACACAGAAAACAGAAGTAGCATGGGAAGCATTTGTCTGAAGGAATACATCTAACAAATTGAAATTCCTTTATGTCAGATCATGCCTCCTTCAATTTGCCCTGAAGGAATCACTGTGGTTCGCTGCGTACTCTAAGCACTTCCAGATTGAAGTTGCCCTGTGGCACCTCACGTTGCATAATCAATCTCTCTCCCTGCGCTCTCTCCATTAGTGCTGGGACAAAACAGCCAGAGTAACGTTACACACACCGAAGCAGAGGCGCAGACGAAGACAAGCCTCCCTGCGCAGAGCACGCATCCATCTTTTACTGACGGGTGTCCATTAATCTGGAAAGATTGTGGTCTGGTGTATTGCTTGAATGTTGCACTGCATCAGTATTGCTGTGAAATGAATCATATGCTTTAATCTGAAGTCAGTCAGATTAATGTGCTCAGTGAACAATGAGTAGGTTTCACTGTTTGTGATGGAAATCAGCTTTTCTATTCTTAAAAGCACAAGGCTTTATCTGCTTTTTAATCTCTCGTGTTGTCAATATGACTAATCCAGGAAATATACAGCCACACATTATCAGACGATTAGGCATAAAGGGTATTTGGTCACACTTTAATTACTTTGTGATCACGTTTCTTTTTAAATTCCCACGACAGACGTGCAACGTGAGTTCTTATTTGGAGACACTTTTTAACCTTCGACTTGAAGGCATACAAAAAATTCGGATCATCTGATAGGTCAGTGGCTTGGTGAGTAAACTTTACTGATTAATTATTAATATTATCATTCTTTTAATTTTCACCAATTCGATCATTAATTTGATAACAAACAGTGTTACGTCATCCTCATGATGCCATTCTGAAGGTTAAACAAGAGTTCCGTTTTCTATCAGTCGTTCTAATCTGAGCAGCTCGATTTAAAGCACACATGCTGTAATGAAAGATTTATTTTCAAACAAAATGAACCTATGAGAAGCAGGATGTTCAGAATAACCTCTGTGCTCTGATGGATGCTGTTCTAATGATCAATATTTAGTAAATATTATTTATTTGGACTGAATTGTCGAGTTCTCATCTGCTTTAAAGTTAACAGGTTTTGCCTGGTGAGACAGATGTGTGATGTTAAAATTGTCAATATGATCAGTTTATAAGATTTATGGTTACTTTGATTAAAGTCCCCCCGTAAAACAACTCTGCTCCAAACTTTGTGGGACTTTTTGCTTTTTTTAAACCTCCAGAAGTGACTGAATGTTCCCCCTACCTTCTGCTGTTTTCCTCACTTCATTCCACTTGATTGTCAGCAGAAGCAGAGGTTATGTTTTTTTTGGCAAATCTGAGAGATGCAATCTTGCTTTAAAGGAAAAAAAAAGATATGAGTGTTTTTATCCTCAATATGTCCCAGAATATTAAATTAAACACACCGCGTAATAACTGAGGTATCAGGCCCTGCGGATGAAGGCTTAGTGAGTAATAAAACCAGAGGGGAAGACAAATAGTGTCACAGCGGATCCAAGTCTATCAACGAGGATGCTTTTATTTAAATTAACTCGTGTTTTAGTTTTGATTATAAGTGTTTAAGTGGCTCCTCTGCGACCCCGGCTGGCGTCAGATTAAGAAAGAGTTAACACCGTAACACCAACAAACGGCACGCTAACTCTTGCAAAGCCACATGCCAGTTAAAACAAGCCAGACCACACATCAGCAGGCTGCTGGAAAAGAGAGCATGCCGGCCGGCTGTACCTGACCCTCAGCGGGGCCACTGACCCCCATGACCTTTGACTGGAGGAAGTGAAAGCTGTGGCAGCGTGACGGGTGAGTGTGAGATGCCTGAAGCCGAGGCCATACCCTCAGGTTCCTCCTGAGAACAAACTGGAGATTTTAAAACAATCCAGAGTAAAGTAAAAACAAGGCCGCTTCAATGGCATGACAAGTTTTCACAGGCTTTACAGAAATTCAGCGGGCGACGCCTGCTGGGGACGTGCGACAAGTCTCAGGTGATGCCAAAGCGCCTGGACACACAGAGATTCATCGAGAAAAATCGAGAAAACACTGCTGACTCTCTCAGTGGCTCTGAACATCAGAGGCCTGCCTCCCTCCAAATGGGCCTCATCAGCGTGTGTGAGTGTGTGTGAGAGAGACATTGTATGTATATGACTGTGTGAGTCACGGGGTCATTGAGTCAGAGTGTAAGCATGAAAGTTCATGTACAAATGTGTGAGTCAGTTAGCCATAATCACGTTTTTGAGCAGACAAATCTTGACATTTCAGGAGGGAAATCACCGGATGCTGAAAGTCTGAATGCAAGGAACGAGAAGAATACAGATTAAAGTTGAAATAGATCCCGAAACAGTAACACAGCGGTAAAGCCAGAGTGATCAACACAAAATACCCTGAATGTCACAACACCTGAAGCTTAAAGACTTCATCTGGCCATGATCCCCTCAAAGCCTCTGGAAAGGAGGAGAACACACGCAGCTGTAAGTCTCTCTCTCTCTCTCTGTTTCTCTCTCTGTATGTGTGTAATCGGCACTTTGATATTTAGATTTGCAGCCCACCGCAGAAGGGATCACACTGGAGGACTTCTGACTGCCACTGTCCTCTCTTTGAGAATACACACACACCTATAAAACCACAGTACCTTTGATTTATATTTTTCCGCAGTTCCGAGGCCCCCCTTCCCCTTCTGGCACCTTGTAAACACTTCTGACTATAACTCATATAACTTAACTTTATAAGCACCACAGGAACAAACACATCCACTACCCTCCTACGAGACTGCGTTTCATTAATGCCCTCCCAATAAACAGTGAATGAAGCCCAGCTCTGAATCCAGGTCACAGTGATCCTAAGAGTCAGAGGAGTCCAAAGCAGCTGGCAGGTGCGTGCGGGGAGGTTTGAGAGCGGCTGAAGTGAAAGCAAATCAAACATCAAACGATCATTTCAGTGTTGTCACAGCAAACACGAAGACAAGAGGCCCCGGTCTGCTTTTACAGCAAGCATAAAGATATTAGCACCATCACTCTAAACCGCTGTGACAAAGTCTTAAATCACTTCTCGAGCAACTTTGCACGGACCCTGAATGGCGCCTTACCAGCTGTCCTGCGCGCGTCCTGCTCCGCACCGCAGAGGACAGGGAAGCCGCTTCTTCTTCTTCTCCTTCTTCCGCGCTGGGTGCAGCAGCTCATGTTTTTGGCAATCCATACGCTACGATGCGTCATGTTTTGTAACGTGCTGTCACGGCTTGCAAATGTTCAGAGCAGACCGTCTGCTCCGGTGCTGAAGCAGACATAAAGAATCCATCTAAAAACGTCTCAGCTTCAAGGCAAGAAGCGCCTCCTCCTCCTTTATGTGGGGCCAAAATGCTTTTTTTTCTATGGCCGGAGTCCTTCTTGTAGAGCCTCAGCACCCTGAACAAGAACAGAGACAGTGGATGGTAAATACACAGTAATAACCAGTGAGTTAAGTTAGTTCATTGTGTTTTATATGGCTCTCAAGTCTGACTGAACTATGAATTAAATATAACCAAAGGATGGGGCAGTTTCCCATCTTTTTGTTACCATTATTTTGTTACTCTGTATTATTTGTGATGAAAAAAAAAAACCCAACATTTTTTAAACTTCAAGATATTTGTTTCTACAAGCCCTCTCAAAAATATCTGAAGCTGTCTAAAGGAAACGATATTCTGGTCTGAAATACGAGACCGAATGACTTGTCAAGAAAGACATTTTGCAGGCGGTTACATCTACCCAGGACGAAGAAAATAAAACTCTACAGCTAACTGGTGTTGGCAGGTTACTGCCTATATAAAATCTAATTAGCGGGGAGTTTGTTTGCGGTGACACAAACAATTCAACACGGAGAAAGAGAAAGCGAGGAGAGTCGGTCAAACAGTCAGAAGTGCAAGAAATGTTTGCCCTCAATCTGCTTCTTGTACTACGTCTCCGCTGACACGTCAAACCAGCGTTTAATGAAAAGAAGCCAGTTTTTCCAGGCATGACTCTCCGCTTCTTACCTCTAGTAACCTGTTCGGTCTTGTCTCCAAACAGCTCTTATGGTTAATGACTAAATAAGTTTTCAAAGCACGATTTGCGTCTCTTTTACGACAAAACGTCCGGGAATAGACTGTGCGGTCACGGTTTGGTTAAAAAAATCACATGGAAAGCCCTTTTGTCTTCTTTTTGTGGATCTGTTGGCTTGATTGATTTGATTTGATTTGAAATGTGAAGTTAAAACGGAGAAAACCTCTCCTCTGTCGGTCAAAATAAAAAGAAAAAAGTCCATGCGTCACGCATTTACGCAGCGTCTCCAAAAAGCGCATATCTTGTTTTTTCTCTTGGTAAAAGCTCTTCTACTCTGGACTCAGGTATCCATTTATCAGAGCTGTGTCCTCTCCACAAATGTACTACGCGGCTACTTTACAATGTCTACAATAGGCTGCTGGACTGGAGGCTATGCGTAAAAACAGCGCGCCGCTCCCCCTGTCAGAGACTTTGTGAAACTGGAGCGCAGTGGCGGCTGCACAAAGTGCTCTGAGTTTTGTTCCTCATCTGCATGGCTCAGATGTCTTTTTGTTCCTGCGCTGGGAGCAGGGAGGGAGGGAGGGAGAGTTGGGGAGACTGTCATATGGGATGGATACGGAGCGTTTCTAGAAAACTGTTCCAGTGGAAGATTCTTGGCCTTCATTGTTTACACACCGGGACTGATAAATGTCGAGAATTTCAGTATATCCCACGTGAATGCGCACACTGAGACATGCATAGGTGAGTTGTGATCCATTTGGGACCCCAAATGACGGTCGGCCCGAAAGACTTTGGCCCTGCACTATTTCTGCATCCCTTGTTGGGTCCTTTCCCTGACCCTTTGTGCCTCTGTAGTCTTCTGTCATCTTTCCATGCACACATGCACCCACGGGACGTCATTATGTACACACACTCACTCATGCCCTCAGATGTTAAATGTCCTACCCTGGCCTGGGCTTGTTATTTGAAGGATGGGCATGTGACAGTCCCCAGACCCCTGATCACTGCAATCCAAATCAAGCACCTTTCCCACTCCTTCTCCATCCTATAGGGTTTATCCCATTCTTCTCTGTTACCCCACTCCACCCACCCACCCACATTCACACGAAAAGGCCCTCAAGCAGAGGCACTCCCTGCAGGGCAAACACTGAGGCCCGCTGAGCACAAAGACTGGGTAAATAGCTGTCCTCTGCAGGCCCACTCTGCTGAGGCAGAGACAAATGCAGGGAGGTTCCCTGGTCTATGCCAAAGTACTATTAATAGTAGCAACCAACAAGGCAACAAAGCGCACAGCTGAGGTGCCTGACATGCAGGAATGTACCATCAGATAAGAAAGATGAGCTCAGCAACAACAGGAGAAAAGGTAGACCCGCCAGGATCATAAAATTCTGGAATATTTGGGACTTACTGATGAATCAAAGATGTCAAAACAAGTGTTTAGAGATGTCAAAACTGAACTTTGTTTGATTCCTTCAATATGCCTGAAGCAGTTTTCACACATATCATCTCTATCTGCCAAATTATGTAAGTTTCCCTCCTTGGTAGAGCCAGGCACCACTTCAAATGAGGCCGCAAGCAGGTGGCAGTTTGAGCAGAGGGCACGACAAATCCAAGTGTGTCTAACGAGTGTGTCCACATCATCCATCACTGTGAGCTATGGCGATGAACTTGTTCAGTATTGTTAAAGGGAATTACAGCATGACACTGTTTGTACACCTACAGTTAAACCCCATGCAAGCAAAACACACACATTTCCAGGCCATACAAACACAAACACACACGCAGGCACTGGATTACTGCAGACCTCCTCCTTCTCCTCCTGTCTGGCAAGCCATAACGTGGCCACTGTTGTGGTTTTAATGGAATTTTTCATTTCCTATGTAACAGTATAAAACTGAATTTACGAGGACGATATTTTTTTTTTATATCAAAATGTTTCTGGTGTGTCAAGTGAACCCAGAACATTTGCTGACCAAACATGCAGTCCCGTCCTTTTGGGACGAGCTGCTGGGTCCACTCACATTCAGGACCAGATGTGCCAAGCCAAAAAGTGATTGCATGTATTTGAACTACCGCAAATGGCTTGTTGACCTATAATTTCAAGCCATTTTGAGCAAGAAAGATCATTCCGATTACAAGGTAACAGCTGGAATAAATATTTGGCGACATCAATTTTATATACCCTTTATTTATGCAGGTAAAATAAGTGTCATTGACATTAAAATGTCTTTTTTAAAGAGAGATCTGGCCAAGAGGGAAGCAGAAATTGCAACTAACAGTTCTATCGAGGTATTGGACTGGATTGATTGTAATGTAGGTTATAGAGATACTTGCAAAACAGGTCATTTCTTTATTTTATATATAATCCCTTCTTAATTCCTGTTGACTGCAGTCTACTTAGCAATATAAGCAAAGGTATTACACATAGAAAACACAGAGAAGCATTGGAAATCACTTTTTGGGAGACAGAGGGGAGAGAGAAGAGTGCTGTCATGTGAAGGAGACTCGGAGTATATTTTTGTATTCTCTCCAACGTTTCTCTGGTCTCTTCTGGAGGCACAGGTCACTGCCCCTGTCGCCCATTTGTCCTTTCTTTATCCAAAAGGTGACTCTCTTTTCTTGGGCCTCTTCCCACATTTAAATTTGTTTTCACTTTTCAAGTGGGAACTCCTCTCTTCCAATACACTGACTTTAAAGCCCCCAGGCCACACCTGCCAGAGAGAGAGAGAGCACAATGAAGCTCGGAGAGCAGCAAAACAGCGGACTGCACAGCACCCCGTTTCCACATTAGCTCAACAAGTGTACACACGGCGCTGATAAATCTCCAGTAATTACCGCCTCATCCCAGCATTTCAAAGCTGCATTCCTGCAGGCGTCCACCAGATTTGTTGTATCATTGTTCATACAAACAAATCATAAAGCAAAGCGTCGGCATGTGGCTTGATTGGGGCTGCTATTACGTGGATGGATGGATGGAGCGTGCGCAGAGTAAACAGTGGTGAAACTTCACAGTGTCAGTGGCTTCAGTTCTATCTCTCGAGGCACAGCTGAAGGGATGAGCTAAGGAATCAAATCAATCAATAGTCAAACGTCTATGCACACAAGGTTTTGTTTATTGCTTTGGATAATCAAGAATCGGGCCAGGAAATATTACTAATAATATATATTTATTTTCCTCTGAGAATAAAATATCCATTAAAATATATACATATACATCTTTCCATCCATAATCCAATACGTATCAACTTTCAGCTGATCTAGAATGAGCCACAGCAGAGGACAAGTTCAGATGCCGACGGGAAAGGAAGACACATCCATCTGCATTACAGGAGCATGACAGGCCCTGTAGGTGTGTCCGATCCACAGACAAAGGTAAACGACACTGTGTGGGAATGTTCATCTCAGCTGACCCGGCATTAGCTAAACAGAGCAGGGGAAGAGAGAAACGGGTGTCTGAATGGGTGTTTTCACCCTCTCCAACTTTCTTTTTACGAGGAGTTTGAATTTCAGGCTCAGAGGTCATGGCCTCTCTGTTCCAAGCCTTCAGAGAGGAGGTGGGGCCAGGGGGAACCTGTCGCTCAGAATAAAAAGTCCGTCGGCTGAAGAGGTGCAGGCCTGCTCATACCCTGTCTACCGGACCAGCGAAAGCAGCCGCCTCCAGCCAGCCAGCCGGGCCGGCCAGCTGCCTCGGGGAGATCCCAGGTGGCAAATATTCCCCTTGCTGCAGGGAGGGAGAGAGCACTCGACCCCACCCTTGTGGACGTCTGGAAATTTGTCGAGTCAGGGTAGCTCGAGTTCTGCGGTTGCGGTGACCAGTGAGACGTGACTTGTGTGTGTGTGTGTGTGTGTGTAAGGGGGGGGGGGGGGCAAGTTTCTGGCACCCCATTAACAGCAGGATGGGATGGGACGCTGTGGAGGCGCTTTAAGGGCCCTCGGCGTCTTGTCTTCCTTCACCTCACAGCTGTGGTTTATGATCACGTTTGTAGGGAAGTGAAAGTTTGTGTGCGGCAGCTGAATAGTACCGTGTATTCATTGTGTGTCTCAAATGAGTCCCTCGTGACTTCCAGTGAAATTTGATCCCTGTTAGCAACGAGCAGGTGAAGAGGGAGAAGTGAACAGTGCAGCAGAGCACAACATGGGAAACGAGTAACAGAGGGAGCGAGATAAACACACAAGAGAAAAAGGAGTGAATTAGAGAGGAAGCCTGGTCGCTGGAGGATTGAAAAATGATTTCCCCTGGCTCTGCAGGTTGGAGATACAGAGCACAGATCAGCGGAGGAAATCCCCTTCTCCGCACTGCTCCATCCCATCCCTCCTTCATCTCCACTGGGTTTCCTGCACTCTGTATCCCCTGAAACGGGAGGAGGCAGACGGTGTTCCAACCTGCTGCACATTTCATGAGGACTGCTCCACTATCAGCATGCCAGACTAAGACACCGAGGGCCACACCGCAGACATATTTGAGCCCAGAGCTGGCACTTTGTGATAAAAGCTAGATTAAAAGCAGAAGGTGGACCAACCACATCAAATTAATTTCCTGCACAAACAATCAGTTTGGACAGCCACGGTGGCACGGTGGTTAGCACTGTTGCCGCACAGCAAGAAGGTCCTGAGTTCAATTCCACCATCAGGCCGGGGTCTTTCTGTGTGGAGTTTGCATGTTCTCCCCGTGTTTGCGTGGGTTCTCTCCGGGTACTCCGGCTTCCTCCCACCGGTCCAAAGACATGCAGCTTGTGGGGATAGGTTAATTGATTAATCCAAATTGTCACTAGGTGTGAATGTGCAGTGAATGTAGTGATGGTTGTCTGTCCCTATGTGTTAGCCCTGCGACAGACTGGCGACCTGTCCAGGGTGTACCCCGCCTCTCGCCCTATGACAGCTGGGATAGGCTCCAGCGCCCCCCGCGACCCTGAAAAGGAGAAGCGGAAGCGAATGGATGGATGGATGCATGTCTCCAATAAGGTCATTTACAATAAAATGAAAAGACCACACGCACAAAGTTCCATTACAAACCTTTTTATTAGGTAACAGAAAGCCTTTTGTAACTGTGTGTGTGTGCGCGTGTGTGTAAAAAAAAGAATTAACACGTTCAATCACTTTGACCTCCTGTTAATGCTTCAAAATTAAAGATTTATAAATACCACGAACAACAAAAGCAAATACATTCTGCTTTATTTTGAACAGATTAGAAGAAAAGAAAAAAGGCAATTTGGACGTAACACATGTGAACTTATCCAGCATTCGTTTAAAAATAAAAATTAAAAACCTAAAAAGTAAGACAGAAATGGGCTCCTTTCCAATTAAGGATCTGCTTAGACTCGTAGCTTTGAAGACCATACTAGTAGTTTTCTGTGTTTTAGGGTTCAAACAGCAAATATTTGATTTTTTTTTTAAATCATAGTTTTCAAATGATTTAATGTAAGTAGCCATCTTGTTTATTAAAGTACAATATATACATCATTTCCCCCTAAAACACAAAACCCAAAACAGTATA